GTTCATAACGTCTGTAAATGTCTTTAAAAAGTCTTAAATTGAACCTGTTGAAACCTGCAGAAACGGTTAATATCAACGTCCCAGTCTCTGACTCCCCTTTGTTACCCGGATCAACAACCCCCTGCTCTCCTGTGTCTTCCAGAATACGCTCAGGTGATTAAAATGTTGGGGAACGGACGTCTGGAGGCCATGTGCTTTGATGGAACCAAGCGGCTTTGCCACATCAGAGGAAAGCTCCGGAAAAAGGTAGGAATATCCCGTTTCTTTACCCACCAGCACACACACAGGAAACCTCCTCCCTCCCCTCTCCCCCTGACGTAACGCTGAATCGGCGTGTTCTCAATGGTCAGCCAGCCACCGTTAATGTGGCAGTATGGACTCAATTGACCGTGTGTGTGTGTGTGTGTGTGTGTAGCTCTCTGTAATCTCTGCTCTGTGTTGTTTTGCTCTAGGTTTGGATTAACACGTCAGACATCATCCTGGTCGGGCTGAGAGATTACCAGGTGTGTTTGCCGCTCACCGATGAGACTGTTGACACTGTACTGACCCCTCGCTGCGAGGACGCGGCGCAGGCCTTCAGATAAACGAGCTGCAGCGTCTCTGCAGCGGCCGACTTTTTAAGGGTTACGCACATAGACGTCTAAAATGTTAAATTAGTTTCTGGTTCAACTAAAACTGATCTCATTATATAGAAAGGAAAACAGGAACAAAGCAACGTAGTTAGTTTTGTTCTGTTTCTTCCTGTGGTTTAAATCCAAAGGTCATATTGTTCTGGGACTCTTTCTCTTTAGATCTGTACTTTTAAACCAAGTAAAAGGAGATGTTTGGTTTTGTTAACTTTAAGAAAGCTATTCATGCCCTTTTCCTGTTTATCCCATATTGATTATTGTAACTAAAAAAAGCTCTAAATTATCTATCAGCTGCTTTTTAACAGTCGGTTGGTTTCCAGTTGCTTCTACATCACAATTTAAACTTCAATGAACTCCTGATACGTTATTAAATCTTTACTAAGGGTTACTGTTTCTCAAAAGTGAATATTTTCTGCTTTCTTCAGTCGTCTGACTGTAAATTTGAATGTATCTGTCCAAACAAGACATTTGTGGACGTCCTTTTGCTTTGGGAATCTGTGATAAACATTTTATGAACCAAACGACACATTTATTAATCGATGATAGCTCTAATTTAGACGTCGTGTCAGTGTCTGCTAAAACCCAACGCTGCTCAGACACACCGATACAGATGAGTAGGTTCAGTGACGTATCTGGTTCCTCTGGATCATATAACTGTACATTTACACAGTTTAGACCCCAGTCTCTCCCCGTGTGCTCAGGTTTTAGTACTTCTTCTCTTCAGCTGACCCCCACGTATGTCACCCTCTGTTTCAGGACAACAAAGCCGACGTCATCCTCAAGTATAACGCAGACGAAGCTCGCAGTTTGAAAGCCTACGGAGAGCTGCCGGAGCACGGTGAGTTGAACGTGGTGGATTTATTGATGGTGCTTGATGTGTAAACTGAGGTTAACTCTGTTTATTCAGCGCAGCTCAACAGAAGAGATAAGAGGAGGGTTTCCTTTTTCGTACAGAGCAAACATTAGTGTTCATTGTGTGTAACATTACCACGCTGCTGTTGTGTTGCTTAATAATAATGTGGAAATCTGAAGTAACACATGCAGTTTCTGACCTTTTTAAACAGCAGGCTCACTTCCCTGCCTTTCATTACATCTCTGTACAAACATGTTCTCCTGATTCATGACGTCCTCTTTCTGCTTTCCCTTCCTGCAGCCAAAATCAACGAGACAGACACCTTCGGACCTGGAGACGACGACGAGATCCAGTTCGATGACATTGGAGATGATGATGAGGACATTGATGATGTAAGCTCCTTTTAATAATAATATGTCTGATTTACGTTGATGCTGCTTTTCTTTGTCTAATATGATTGTAAAGTGAATTTCTTTGTGTGTGGAACCGTCGTTTGGACAGAAAATAGTCATTTAAATGTGTCACTTTGGACACTATGGACCAGTATTTGGCAGATTCATCAATAATAAAATAATCTTCAGTCGCAGCTCTTCTCCTGACACGATAAAACCATAACCATCTACAGTGATGTCAAATTTAATGCTGGAAATTATAATTACAAAATGATGTTTTAACAGTTGAGAACAAAAGTTAAAATAATTCTGTTTCTCTCTGTTTCCAGATCTAAAGACCTGCTACTGGAGGGGGAAGGTCGGATTTTACTAGAGATGCTCCGATTGGGATATTTTGAGCCGATACGACGCACCAATAATGCTTATTTTTATTAAGATCAGCCTATGCCAATCCAATACAGTTTATTGATAACAGTATGTTTCAGTTTATTCCAGTTTTTGTTAACCATCGGTAGACGTCTTTTTTGTTTTTCTGAGAACTTTTTTAAAAAGTGCATTTCACCTTCGTAGGAGAGAAAAAAATGAACACCAGTACAGTTTATTGTTAACGCGAATGAACCTGAATGATGCTGCTTTAGTACGACTGTCTCAGTTATCACTCGTAGCAACCGGAGGGCGACTGACGATGCTTTCTTTGCCTTCACGCAGTTGGATTGGAGAATCAGACTAGGCTGATCACCAGCATCATATTTAGGGTGAATATCTGGACCATTACTGGATATTTACCTTGTTTTTCTTACATCTCATTCACTGAAGTTCCCTTTTTTTCTTCCCATATTGTCAGAAAAACTCTTAGTATTTAGATTCCCGCTGATATACAATGACCGCAAGATATCTCTCACCATCTTTTTACGATGTATTTATATTGATTTCACACTATGTGGGATGTAGCAACAAGTACAGAATCTCTGGATTCGCCAATAAAAAGATAAACCATTATGTGTTTCTTTTTCCTTTGGCAGTTATCATTCTAGCTGTAGACGGTTTAAAGGCTGTTTTATGAACGAGAGAAGAAAGATAATAACACTTGAGTACGGCTCTGTATCTTTGGTTAACGCCATATATTCCACTGATGACGTATTACGATGAACTATTTGCTTGCTTTTTGGATTGAACCGCGGCCCGAAAGGAAGGATCTCTCTCTCTCTCTGTGTCTCTCTCTCTCTCTCTCCCCCCCTCCCCTAGAATCAAAAGAAGAATCTAAATGTATTTTTCTATTGTTTCCCGTATTTGTGTTTTTATTTTTTTGTTTCCATGTTCCTGTTTTGAACTCTTTGGCTGCTCGCTCTGTGGCTCACACACCGTGAAGCTCGGCCCGGTCAGCCGCTCCATCTCATTCTAGACCAGCGGTTCCCAAACCTTCTCCACCACCAACTCGGACTCCCACGCCAGTAAAACCTCACATCAGTGCAGCCTCAGTCTTTGAACCTCTAGAAAAAAAAATCTAATAACAGTTACATACAGTACTTTATCCCCTCCCCCCCTCTCTGGAAACTCCCCCCCGTGTTCCCTGAGGGGGCCTAGCACCTCAGTTTGGGAACCACTGCTCTAGATCACATGGGGCCTGTTGCTGCTGTTGCTGTAACTCTGAATTAATAAAAAAAAAAAATGTACTATGATGTTTGAAGGCTGGGTTTACAATAAAGATCTTAACTCCACTGATGACCTGGCGTGGTGGTTTTTGGGCGCTACACGCACTTCCTGTGCCCGGTCTGAAGGTGGCGAGGTTGAGCTGAAGGTTGGAGGGAAGCGGCCTCGTGTCCTTCAGAGCTCCGAGCCAAGAACATCCCGGGCTGCTGGGTGTGGACGGGGCACAGTACGTCTGACCTGATGCTATTTTTAGTAGAGGGAAGACAAAAAGAATGACGTGTCCTTGAGCAAAACATTGTATCTGACCTCTGACCTCTGACCTGTCTGCTGTGTCTGTTTGTGTGCTTTGACCTTTTCTTCTTCTTTAGGAGTTTGAAATGACTTTAGTTAGGTCTTGTGAGGTCTTTACTTCCCAGAAACATTCACATTTTCTGGATTCTCCCAACACAAGACCTTGAGAAGTTAACAAAGCTCGATGTGTTTTAAATCCAGTTGTTGTTTTAGATGTTTCCTGGTTTTAATTCTTCCATCTGATGAAATAAACCCCAAATATTAGAATACAGAAAGTCACTGGACCTAATTTTATCTAATCAGCGTGCAAAGGTTTAACTTAAAGGGGATAAAATGTGCAAACATGCTTCATTACAACAACCTGGAATGTACTACACAACAGAAAAAACCAATAATGTGATGTTTGTGGTGTCGTATTTACACATTTTACATCATTGTAATGCTACTGTATAATACACTGCATTATATTAACATTAACATTCACTGAAGGTCCATGGGGAGCTAATCCTGCCTACCATGCTTCATAAACGTCACAATAGTTCAGTATATATAGTGGAATAGTGAACAGTAACGCTGTCAGATAACTGGAGTAGAAGTAGTGGCGTGAAAAGAAAAGATTAATAAAGTAATAAAGTAACTCAGAACTTGAGTAAATGTACTGCTAGAAAACTTACATACAGTAGGTCTATATCTATAGCATTTGGTTCCTTTCCGAGCAGAAATGTAAATTAAATCTAATAGAACAAAAGCCGAACATCAGGGAGGAAAAAACACTTAATTTGGCAAATAAAAAAGAACCCTTTTAAATCTGTATGATTATTTAAAATGATTAAAAATTCAGAATTCAGACAGAAAAATATATAAAAAAGTTCCCTAAACAGGAAATAATTGCTCAGAATTCATCCAAATAACTGCAGTTCACTGTTTGGGTTCATTGTAGTCAGTTAGTTTACTAAATGATAGAAATGAGCTCCACAACTGGACTGCAATGAACTCAATTTTCTTTAATTATTTGGATATTTTCTCCATTAAAGGATTGTTTGGTTTGAGAAATGTGAAAATCATTGAATGTTTTATCATTAAATATAACTTTAGAAACGTACACAGCCGGACTTTATCTCAGCATTCTGCTCATTTCTGCAAATAAAACTAAATAAAACTAAATTAAATTCTTATTTTTTAAAGTCGATTTTATTATCTAAGATGTAAAACTTATATTCACACAGAACATTGAGAAGAAAACACTTAATTTATCCAAACAGACAGAACTGTATAAAAAGTTGATTTGACATCACTTGAGTAAATGTATTTATAGTGACAGTCCACTGACACACAGTATGAGGTCATTATATAGTTCCCGCTGTTTATTTATAGTGTGTGTGTGTGTGTGTGTGTGTGTGTGTGTGTGTGTGTGTGTACTGACCCATATTGCACGTCAGCAGCAGCCAGCATCACTTTGTTAGAAAGTATGACGTAACGCTGCCGCTGGGTCTCGCTTGTGCCTGGCACGTGCGCTCCGACACGAGCCGAGGACCCGCGCCAAATGAAGCGCGGAGCCACGTGAGGGTGAGGAGAGAGAGAGAGAGAGCGAGCGAGAGACAAACAACAACAACAACAACAACAACAACAACATACCTATGTGATTATTATTATAAATATAAACGTTATTAACTGTAAGTTTATCCTTCCGCCGAGCTGCCGTTGGCGCTTTGTGTGGAGCGGCACACCTGGTTGCTAGGCGACGCGTAACGGGCGTGAAGTGATGTTCGGCGCATTAATATGTAAATGAGCCAAATGTGAAGCGGTTTTACCTTTTTTTAAAAAATACATAAACACATTTTATTCTCTGTATATAAATCACTGTTTTAGACGAAATGAGACATTTAAAGCCACATTTAACAATTATATCTTTTTTACGACATTTTTTTTAAGAGTTAGGAGAAAAAGTAGATCCAAACGTTATTTTTCTACATCCAGATGTGGCAGTTGTACTGTTTTAGATTGGTAATAGTGAACACACAGTCATAGCCACACCATACAGCAATAACACATCTATGCTGGCTGTAAGGAGGCATATGGACTCCCCCCCTCCCCTCTCCTCTCCGTCTCTCTGCCATAGGCTCCTCACTCCCCAGCATCACATCTTCCTCCGTCTTTCCCTGAGTCATTGTGTTGCACCGGCGGTCTCCTGTGAGGTTTTCCGCGGGTTTCTGGCTCCTGTCAGCTCCCTCAGGTGAACATATTCGACGAGCTTTGAGATGACTGAAGTGGCTTCAAGCCGCCCTGAGATGACAGGTGAGGAAAAATATTCTCCCACACTGTTTTATTCCCATTAAATGTGTTAAAAAAATGGGTGTTTAATGTACTTGCAGACAGATAGAGACACGTAAGGAGGTGGATACACCCTGTCAGTGTGTGTTATATGGGCTATATATCTGTAAAGAGCCTGTGTTTGCTCCACCACAGTGTGAGACTGCTTTGTACTTGATGTTTTAAAGGATAATTTCACCAATAAAAAGGGTGAGGCAGGTTTTTTTCCACTGCATGTTGTCATAGGCCCACACTTACCCATTAATGGAGAGCATTATTAATATTTCAGCATCCTGTGCTTTTAAATGTATGTGCATAGATCAGTTGTTGGTTTGCATCCCTTCACATGGAAGAAGTGTAGAACAACCTATTGCATATTATATATTATATATATTTATAAATCTGTAATACATGCCAGAGTATATAAATTATTGGATTTGCTATGTGTAATCTGAATAATACAAAGTAAGGAATGCCTGATCAGTACATTTCCTAAAATATAATATATTGTTATTATGTTATTAGTACATTTTATTATTTAAATCTTCCACTGCGTCCCTGTTTACTGACTGACAGGCTCATATGTCACATGCCTTAACTGTAACAAGCTGTTATCGCCTTTAAAAACATGCGATGCAGCTGATTTTTTAATTATTTCTGCATGTGATGAAGCAGTAAAAACCCGCGGGACCTCAGATTTACACGTATTTGCATATCTAATTACTGTGTGTGTGAATATGTGTTGAGACGTTGACCAATGTCTGTCCTATTTCATGTCAGCTTGACAGATTGAAAAGCTAAAACATAACAGCTAAAGGGGCTGAAGGTTACAGCCAGGGGTCCTGCACTGACTGACAGGAGATTTATTGGACGCTATGACGTGTGTCTGATTGATAACAGCAGGAGTCACGTTCCCCAAACTCTCCAGCTTTACATGTTTTCAGCTGTATTTGCCTTTTGGCCAACGTGAATCACGTCTGTTCTCACACAGCGCTGGCTCCTCCTCCGGCACCGCTGAGCACCAGTAGGAATGCTTCTCCTTCCCGCTCACTGTCCAATCACAGCAGCCCTTCAGGTAAAAGTCTCTAATCACGTTCACCCTCTTTGATGTGCTGCCGTTATCTTAATCCAGGAGGGCAGAATACATTTAATATATGATGTGGTGTGGTGTTATCGACCGCTGAAGATCCTCTCTAGTAGTTTTTGGGTGGTTTTGTCTCAATGTTTTTCTGTTGGAGTTGTGAGGAAATGCTTCTTTTAACAGGGATTTAATGATTTAACTTACTCCGGTCGAGCATCGAACTCACAGCTGAACTAGTCTGTTCATATTTCCTTCACCTGTCTCAAAGGCTCCCGGCGCAATTTGGCAAAAGAGCGACGGGATGACGAAGAGAAGACACAAGGTATGAGTAACTCCCCAGCCGGTGGAGCTCTGTGTGGTCTGTCCTGTTCATCTGTCACTGGCACACAGACACACAGACACATTGTGGGTGTGTGTGTGGGTTCTTGCTTGTGATAGAGGAACTATTTAGGTCCTTTACTTTGGTAATTTTATGGGAAAATAATCTACCACAAATCCTACATTTAAATGTAACTATAAAAGGTGTATGCAGTAAGATAAACTAAAGTATCTGTGTCTTCTTACTTGCTTGTTGCTGAAGCTTTTTGGATGCAACGCAAGTTCCTTATCAGCAGATTGGATTTTGCTCAGTTGCCATGGAAACGTCAACAGGCTCTCAGAATGATGGAAATTTCGACATTTCCATGGCAACTGAGCGAAATCAATCTGCTGATGAGGAACTTGCGTTGCATCCAAAAAGCTCCAGCAACAAGCAGATAAGTTGGACCTTGAGTGGATGTTGTTCTGTCGGCTGCTGTTTCCAAAAGATAAAATGTCAAACTCATCAAGTGTCTGTAGTTTTTAAACCTGGCTGAGTACCTGAAAAGTCATCATTTAGGTTTTTTAAGGATTTGTTATTGGATAGAGAACAGTTGAGAGTTGACAGGAAGATAGAGAGAGAGAGAGAGAGAGAGAGACTCAGAGTCTGTACTCATGTCGAATGCTCCTGGCGCTCTGTGTGTCAACTGGTTTGTGCTAATTTAATTGCACCACTAAACCACGATACTGACCCGATAAAGGCCTTAAGGCGGGTCCTGCTTTAACATGCAATCTTAAGAAACTTTCTTTAAGTTTCTCTGGGTCAAAATCTACTTTTAAACCCTTTTATTATTTCAGCTTTGTGGCACACCTGTAACGTACAGCGGTTCCATCCAGCCATGTAGTGTAACAAGTCCAATGTTTACCCCTTAAAGTTAGTGGAGAAACAGTAGAAAATCTCCCCAAAAAGAGAAAATACTTCAATAAAGAACCCGTGTGTGAGAATAATATTGGTATTTAAGTATCCGAGTACCTCTGACGGAGTTTGACGGTGTTTGTTTGACGGTGTTTGTTCAGAGATCTCCGAGGCGCTGCGGGATAAGGAGCGGCGTGCGCAGCAGCAGCTGGACCGCTGCGCCGAAGAGCGAGGGAGGAAGATGGAGGAGCAGAGGAGGAAGGAGCAGAGGCGCAGGACAGCGGCCGGGGAGAAGAGACGGCAGCAGCAGGAGGCAGAGAAGGTCAGAGGTCACAGCACGCTAACGAGGCATTGACACTGTTTAAACAATACGAATAATACTGATTGTGTTTAATACTGTAATAATGAGGATGATCTAAGGATAATTAAACAATACACTTTATATCATAACTTGAACAGGAAGCAGAATCATATTAGAATGAGATGTAGTGTGCAGACTAAAGTAAACTAAAACTAAAAAGGTTTATACTCACATTATACTGAGATACAGTTCAAATTCCACTAACCAGCTAACTTACTAAAGTTATAAATTAAAAATAACATGTAAGAATATATAACTTCTGACTTCTGACATGTGGAGGTTTAATGTGATGTTTGCCGCCTCTGTGCACATTCTGTTTTGTTAAGAGCTTTATGTGAAGGTAGCGTTAAAGCAAGATCACAATAAGAGTACAAATAAGTGTAACTGATAATCTGTGCAACAAATTGTCAAATCAGAAACTTAAACAAGTCTCGTTTTGTTCATTTTTAATCACAATTTGTTTGAAATTATAGTAAAAAGATACAGAATTATCACCAACTCCTTCCTCCTTCCTCTAACCTCTCCATCTTTGGAAATTAGTTCCTTCTGTTGTTCACACTCACAAACCAATACTAATAATCAGAGGAAAATCTTCTCCCCCCAGTGATTTACTCTCTCTCCTCCCTTTTACTCTCTCTGAGCTCTCTGCCGCCAATTTAATCGCGTCGATCCATAATAACCGAGTCTGTGCATTTCCAGCTGTTGTTAGTCTGAACCAGAGTTTAAAGGAGCAGCGAGTAATCAATGCAGAAGCCCCTGTCTGCTGACCAATTGTGTGCATTGAACTGAAACAGTGCCACAGTATCCCTCTAATCCCAAAGTCCTCGTTTCCACAACAGATTACTTAAATACTAAAATAAAGGACGATATATATCACAGGACACCATCAGGAAAGCTTGTGACACGGACTCAGAGATGGAGTCTATGTGGACATATATTGCATCAAGACAGTGTTTTGGTGTGTGTTTGGACGGTTGCAACAGCCCTAGTTTATAAGTTACTGCACACTTGTTCGAGAGTATGTGAAGGAAGCTTAAAGAATACGCATTCAGCAGAACCGGAGATAGCCTCCCTTTTTTTATTCCACACTTTCTTCTTCCTGCTGCCTACATTACCCACAGTGCAGCTCTGAGCACCTGGAAACACAATGGATACAGTCTCTGCTTCTTCATCAGCTCATCGTCTCATTAGCTCCTCTGCCACACTCACTGTAGAAGCTATTTTTAAGCGTTGGTGAGTAAAATGTTTGTGACACATTCTCTGTTTGTGAGGAGGCTTTTTTGCCAAACTGTAGAAATTCTCCACACAACAGCTCATCGGTAAGAAGGCAGCAGCGTTCCTGATGTGTGCTTTACACCTTGTCTTCACAGGAAGTGCGTTAGCAGAGCGTCAGTCTGTGTCTACTCAGGATGTGTTCAGGTGCAGGACTGAGTGTGGGTCAGTCTTAAAATAAGGTTTTAAGGATAATTGCCATGAGATGGTTGTCAGAGCTGATTTTGTGGGATGTGAGATTGTTCAAAGGAAGTAGTGCAGTTAAAGACAGGAACTGAGGAGATGTTACTGCTACCGACACCATTATCAATTCTGCTTATCAGGCAGATTCTTTGTCGATTCCCTTATTGATTCCTGATCAATTTTCTGTGTGGGAAAAAGTAGGCCCTACACAGGTTTTATTATCTCTGAGTCTGAACACGGTGTAGAGAAAGAGCTGAGTCGTAGCAGTTTCAGTTTTAGACCCTTTGGACTGCGAGGACTCCTCCTTGTTGTTGAGAGTCTAATGTTATTAACTGTACATTAATAAAAAGCATAGATCGATAAGCTCGGTGGCACTCGGTGGACCAATGGATCGGACAGGTTGGCCTGAAACCGGCCTGCGTGAGTCACGAGTGGTCACCAGTTAGCTGAGAACTACTGACTCACATTATTACAATCTGACCTGCTGCAGTGTGTACGATAACCCTTTCAGCTCGACCCGGAATATAAATGATTTGTGCCGGTTGAAGCAGCACATGCAGGGTTAACAGGCCGGTGACAGTCTGATCCACAGAGAGTTCACCATTCACCGCTCAGAGGAGGAAGAGGAGGAGGAGGAGGGGGAACTGTCTCTATTGATTTAAGGGCTCTGTTTGCATGCTAACAGCCCCCTCCCTCCCTCCCCCGTCCTCCCCTCCACACACTCATATGCATAACTTAATGACATAATGATTGGTCAGTCTCGCGGGGCGATGACATCACCGCCAGCGTATCGTGTGGCGTTTACTGGAACAGACAGTCGATGCTCGCTGCTGCTGTGACAAGCACATATTTCACCTCAGAGGAGGAAAAAAAGACGTCTGCAGAATCAATGAGCTTCACTGAGGAAAACTATTTAATTTAGTCTTTTATTGGTTTCCTCTTGAACTATTTTAGTTAAAGCTACAGCGAACATTTATTTTTATTGTCTCCATTTATCTTTTAATTGTCTGAATTTATAAAATGTCAGAAAATGGTGAAAAGATCCAAAGATATTCAATAAATATAGATTTAAAACAGCAACTCCTCAACAAAAAAAACAATTGACTTTAACAATTAATCTATTATCAAATGAATTGTAGATTAATACAATCAATTAATATTCTGTCAGTCCATTATCGATTATCTTCTGGATTAATAAATACATTATTTTGTCTAGGAAATTAAAAACGGCCATAAAGATAATTGTTAGTTATTGTAATAATAATAATAATTCTGTCTTTGTTAGAGCAATAGTTTGATGGAGGATCGTGTTTAAAAAATCACCGTTCCTTTGGGGTATTGATTATTTTACTGACTGAAGAGAAAACGCTATTAACTGTCTAACCTTCATCTTTATATTATAACTATGAATTATAAATGTTGGTGGATTGCTTTGAGATCCTAACAGTGGTTCTTTAGGAGTCCTGACTGTAATGAACACTGCAGTGTGTGAGGCTTTAACATTCTCAACATGCACTGCTGATGTAAATTAGTCCATTATTTAACATTTGCCTTGTAATTAATATTATTTAATGCGCTGACTGCACCGCCACTGATGTATAAAACAAATCACAAATGAAAAACCAAAAACTGCTCGAAGAAATTCACAATTTTGTGCAGAGAACTTTTGTTAGCGACCGGTTGAATCTATCTTATCATAAACCTTTTAATACATTATTCTATGCCACTGATTCCAACCCTCACCAGGTGTCGCCAAAGCTTCACAGAGGGTCGCAAGGCCTTCTTTATTATGATGTGTTTTAAATGTATTTAACTATATATAGGAATCTCACAGGATAAGAACACAATATAATATTATTATATTCACACTGTCTGAAAGGTAAAACAACCAAAGAGCTAATAGAACTTCTGCCGAGCACCAGGGAGGAAAAAAAAACACACACAAAAGGCTATTAAGTATTTATGACTTTTAATTAACAAAAAAACACAATCCAGACAGTAATTGTTTAAAACCTTTATAAAAAAATCAGAAAAACTCGTCTCTGGTCAATATTCACAGGAAATAATCTGCTCAGAATTCAACCAAATCTCTGGTTTCACACAAACTTCCTGCAGTGATTGTGTTCACTATAGTTAATGTACAGTTCGTCAGCTGTTCTTTACTGTTGTTGTTTTGCATTACAATGATATAAAATGGCTCCCTTACAGAAAAAGGTTGATTTACTTCATTTATTAGTTGTTTTAGTGGTGGACAGATTCTCCTACCGACCTGAGTCACAGCAAATGACTGTGCTTTCCTCTCCGTCTTTGATCTGTATCTACAAATATCTCTCTGTCTCTTTCCACTTCTACTACCCCCCTCCCCCCAATCATCTTACATTCCCGTTGTCTCTTTTTAAATCCCCACCTCCCTCCTCCCGTCGTCTCTCCTCCCTCCTGCAGTCTGTGCGTGACTCTGCATGCACCTTCAGCAAACACCACCCACAATGCTGAGGTGGGGCCTTTCCATCCTTTATATATGTATATATATATATATATATATATATATAGACGGAGTGCTGGAGCGGTGTATCAGCTTTAAATTGTGCAATTACTCTATATACATTACAACCACTGTCTGCTTACCAACACTGCCACTATTAATGGTCGTTAACTGACAAACCAGAATGAGATGTGGTTGTAAATAAACAGCTGATCAGCATTTAAAGCAGGAAAAAAGCATCTTAAATCCTCTTTTTTGGGCCTTTGATCATAGAGACCAATCAGTACAAATAAGGAAACAAGTAAATAATCAAGAAATTGGGAAATAAGAAATATAAATCCAAACTAATAGAAGTGTAATATAATAACAACATTCACTCTATGTAGTATAGGGAACACATCACTGATTATACTGTGTTAATATATTAGTTAGAAAAAGCACTTTAAGACCTAAAATAGAACAATATGCAAATTAGACCACTTGCTTCTTATTCTTAGAAGGTATTTTTACTTTGATCATGAAACAGGTATTAATTTTATTCTACAGGCCTGCAGAAACATTTTAATAACCCATTAAATCTCTGTGAATATCTGATATTAATATATATTTATGAATAATAGATCTGATCTTAAATTGTCATTTAACGAGCAGGAAAAATGCATCCGCTTCCTCTTTTTTTGGGTCTTTTACAGAATGATATTTACATGTGATCATAGAGAACAATTAGTACAAATAAAGAAACAATTAAATAATCAATAAATAAACAAATAAGAAATATAAATCCCCAAAAATATGCAGAAATTAAAGATCCAATGAGTCCGTTCGCTGAGGAAAAACACAAAATGAATACATTTCTCCCCAAGATGGAAATTATTATTGACGATTATTTTGTATTGTTGTTTAAGAATGTATTTTAATGAAACTATTGTATATTTTAAATTATATTAAACTGTGTAGAAGGTAGAATCAGGAAGAGTGAAGGAGACAAGGAAAGAAAAAAGAGACCAGAGCTGAAACAAATGCAACCAATATCAATATCTAATCCACCCACTCAGTGTGTGTGTGTGTGTGAGTGTGTGTGGAGGCTTGGTCCCCTGTGTGTGTGTGTGTGTGTGTGTGTGTGTGTGTGTGTGTGTGTGTGTGTGTGTGTGTATGTGTGTATATGGGGGTGGGGACGGGTTGCATTTTGTCCCTTCCCGTGTGACTAAACTGCTCTGTGAAATAGACTCAGTTATTAAAGAGAGAGAGGAAGGGAGATTGAGGTAGAGAGAGAGAGAGAGAGAGAGAGAGAGAGAGAGGGTGGGGTAAACAATTGCGAGGTAGGAGAGAGAGAGAGAGAGAGAGAGAGAGAGAGGGAGTCAGTGCTACCTAGAGGGAGCGGCAGACAGAGAGAGAGAGGAGGAGAGAGAGAGCTGCTGTATTATGTATCAGTGAGTGACAGACGAGCCAGCGATCGAGCGCTGGTGACCGCCAGCAGACACAGAACAGACGAGCGTGAAGAGCACGGAGGGGCGAGGCTGCTGCGGTTTGCATGCGGTAACCATGGCGCAGCTGTCTCCGAGCGCATCGCCAGGCGCCCGTCGCCGTAGCGATGGCTCAGTGAGAGAGTGTCTTTTCTTCCCTGTTTCCGAACGCAACGAGCAGGAGAGGCTGGAGGCCCTGGTCCGTCGGAGAGCCGGAGGAGCTGAGAGACGAGGAGGAGGAGGAGGAGGAGGTGGAGGAGGAGGGGGGGAGGCCCGGGACCACCTGGATAACAGGCCTAAACGTTGGACATGGGGAGGACCGCCTGATGGAGTAGAGGGTGAGTACGCAGAGAGGTGGGTGGGGGGGGGTTTGTTGATGAGGTGATGGAGAAAGAAGGAGAGCCATCGTGATGATGTCAGCGGAGGGTTGGTTTGAGATGTAGAACAGGAGAGAGCATACGGGCGGATACTGATGGGGGCTGGGAGGAGAGGAGGAGAGGTGTTTGTGTGTGTGTGGGGGGGAGGTCTGGAGGTCAGGGGGGGAAAGGAAGAAGGGGGATGGTGGGATGAAAGGGTGGGGACGACACAAGCAGAGGAGGGACGGATGTGGAAGGAGAGCGGGTGGCACGAGGATAAAGAGAGAAAAGGTGAGGATGTGAGGAGGAGGAGAAGTGATGGAGAAGAAAGGAGAAGGGCAGTGGATAGAAAAGGGTGTGGAGGCTGCAATGCAGGAGCTGCTCGGTGCTTTGTCTCTAAACCCCATCAGGGTTTGGAGACGCTGTGTGTGTGTTTACTGTCACAGATGTGTGTGCAGACAGCTTCGGGGAATCAGACAGCCGTGGTTAGAAGCTGACGTTAGCTGATGGTTTTGGCTTGTAAACGTGCTACAGGTGTGTGTTTGTATGTCATTGCTCTGTTGTTTCATTTCTGTGCTGGGAGGCCGGTCTGATTCCCAGAGGAGCAGGAGTTACACATCAACCTTGAACGCACCAAGGCCACACACATAAACCCAGACAAAGTGCGACATGAGGCTGTTTACTGTGCCAACATCCAGCTCTCTTAATTTACGCCTCTTTCTTTTTCTCTCGTGTCACGCCACCATCGTATTTTTCCGAGATATTTTTGCCGTCGAGTCGGGCCAGCGGGATTCCAGAGCGCCACCAGCTAGGCTCTGGATCCTGTGGTGCATTCATAACGCCATCAATTATTCACAGTACCCATCAGCCCAGCCGTTCTGGCACCGACCCGGGATCAGGGTCCACCCAGCAGCTCGTCTGGCTCCGGCCCGGCTGTCTGGCAGAGAGGCTGCTCTGGGATCTGTCGGGACCCGGCAGAACGCTCACTGCAGCAGAAACAGCAGCATCTCATCTTACAGCTCCACTCGATTAAAGGACAGAGACTCACTAAAGACGCAAAGTGTGTGTATCTGTGCTGCGTATTTTTCTCTGGTCCCAAGGTGGTCCAGTTAAAATTCTGCACACTGATAACTGCGGCCTTTTCCCACTTTATTGTGACTGGATGTTTACTCCATCATGGCTGTGTATTTCTGAGATACATCACAGCTGACTCATGTTCACATGCTTTATGTTCATATGGAGGCAATTGATTGGTCAATAATCAGCTGGGCTTTAAAACAACCAACCATAACAGGATACTTTAGCATTATTAATACAACAGGAAGCTGTCAGTTATCTATTACAAACTCATTGTTCAGACCACAGAACTTTTAATTCTCAATGTTGTCAAAGGAACCAAATCTGAAGAACTTTAAGAAACATGTAGAATATTTTCATTGGATATTTCACTCACTGAAAAGCATCAAACACAGTGTTTAAGGGGTAAATTCTGCCTTTAAATTGGGTCAGGGTTTTCTTAAGCACTGATGTCGTACTCGCAGCTTCATAAGTGAAAAAATTCTAATAGCTTTGACTTCATGAGTTGTGATTTTTGTGGATGTTTTTAATAAGGTCAGAACCCACCAAGGTCGCTTATAAATGTTTAGAAACAGCCTTTTGAGCCACAATAACAGCCACAATAACAGCGTGGGTCTATGGATTACGATGCCGCTTGGTCGATGTTGAAATATCTCAATAGCTTCTGGATGGATTTCCATGAAATTGTGTGTCAATCGTGGTTCCCTGAGCATGAATAGAGAGAAATATGGCTGCAGCTGTTGGAGGTATTACCTGAGCAGCAGTCTCTGAGGCTGACAAACAAAACCAACACGGAAGTAACAAAAACTGCAGTTCCTCGAACAGCCACTTGAGTGATCAGTGTCCGTAAGGCAGCAGCCAACGTTATAGCAGAATAATAATAATTACAATTTCTGATAACAGGCTCCACCAACACTCCACATATTTTTGTATTAGCCTCGATCCTGCAGAGTCAGGACTGCCAAGATTGCGACGGCCAGAGCCGACCGCACCGAGCTTCGTAACGGCTCTCCAGAAACCTGTGGGTGATGTCATGAAGACTACGTCCATCTTTAAATATACAGTCGACGGGATTATCATGCAGTTTGGTTCGGACGTTCATGGTTTATCGAGCCAATCATTGGGTCAAAAAGTCAGTGTGTCCTGTTGTGATTTTGAGGTGAAATAGGGTAAACACCGGTTATAATAATCCCCCTGTTGACAACATGGCATCACAAGTTCCTTTGGAAGGCAGCATTACGTAACCTTGCGAAATCACCATATCATGCGAGAATCCATCCCGCCAGGCGTTAACCAATGTGCTTACCACAGTGGTTTGGACCAATCAGCGTCCTGTGAGGAACTAACGCTAGGTGTGATGCTGCGAGAGGGACTATTGGTTCAAAAACAACAAGTTAGGGTAGATGATGCTAGCATCAGTTATATCCCCACTGGAGAGTATTTCTGCATTAAGAGAAGAGCCAACGACACTGAAGGCTTTTATTGATGGTTTTCACTCTTCTCCCCGACTTGTTCATTCACTCATCTGTCAGTGTTTGTTTCAGGCACAGATGGCTCTGTGTAACAAACCATCTGGTGCATCAGCTTTAGTGTTACACTCACAGTGTTACTGCATGATGTTTCACTCTGTGTTGGTACGATTGTCCCTCAGCTCCAATCATTCATGTTGCTTCTACAGTCTTGCTTTGACTGTGATGATGATTTGACATAATAAGGTTTTGATGTGGCAACTTCCTGCTGGGAATCTCATGTAGAGTTTGTTGTGTCTCAGATGTGTCTGCTGTCACTGTGTGTGGATGGAGGTTGTTTATCTTGTGTTAGTGATGCAAGTGTGTGTGTGTGTGTGTGTGTGTGTGTTGTGTGTGTCTACACATGGACGTGTGAACGTGTAATGCTTTGCTTTCTCCGCTCTGCTTCACCTGCTGCCCAGGTAACCCTAAGACCCCGCCCTGCAATGCCATTGGCTCCGCTCAGCCCAATGAGCTTCCTGCTGCTTCCAGCGCCAGCCAATCCCGTAACGGTACAGACCACATGACTCTGTGTGCCACGCTCATGCCGCTCCCCCCACCACGAATCCTGCAGCTGTTCCTCTGTCTGCATGCATGTGGACGTCTTTGCACCGTCACATCGGCTGTTTTATCGTCCTGGAGTGTGTGTTCTGTGTGTGGTGATGAGTTCAGTGCAGTGTTGGGGAAATTTGCTTATAAAATCTTCTTTATCTGATTTCTCTTAACATATTTAGTCTTTTCTTTTAGTAAATACCACAACATGCTTCACCGATGATGGAAATATATTCAAATCTCTGCATAGAGATGCAGCGAAAGGGTTTCTGGGTAACTGTAGTTCTCACAGGTTTCTCCTCCAACGTGTCATCTACAAATCGAACCTATCTGCAGTCCTTTGTGTCACACACTTGCCGACACCCAACATGCAGTCAGATGATGATTGAATTTATTTAAAGAGTTAGTATTTCAGATGGAAATACACATTTCTGTTGCCCTTTATGTCTTACAGTACAGTCTAGTTTGGTAAATGTGAGTACACATATTAATGTTAGCGACAAGCGTGCTGACAGACAGAAAATGTGGACTGACTTGCAGATGCAGAAAAATGTCTTGAAAACAGAAATACTGTGAAGCAAATTGCAAAATAAAAGAATTGAGCCAAAAATACCTTAAAATATGATTCAAGTGTGAAGCTCTGCTATTTATTTAAGCACACGTACAGTAGGTCAACAGTGCGTTGTCGTCTGCATAAAAACGCTCCTGATTTTAAATTTGTACTGTGGAATACTTTAAATACGCTCCATCTGTCTCCTCAGTGCTCTTAATATCAACTGTATGATATTTACATATTATAGCTAATTACTGTTTATATTTTACCATTCTGACCTAATTTGGTAACTCTGCTGACTCTTTATGTGTATCCATTCACATGAGTCACACGAGTGGAAAAATCACATAATATAATAAGATATGTTGTTTATTAAATAATGATCAAAAAGACTCCCTCCAAAATACTATTTTTATTACTAAACACAAGCTGAATGTGTAGTTTTAAAATAAGTAAAAATGAAAAATACAATACAAACAAAGTGTGCCCTCCAACACTGACTGTATGTTTACTGTTTTTATTTCAGCTCATTGTCATCAACAGTTCACAGCACATACAGGATACTTATGTGGTCCTCTGTGGCTAATGAGTGTCTGGTTTTGAACCCCCCCCCCACTACAAACATACAAACACACCCTCATCACAACAAAGGGCTGCTCCACTTCCTGTCTTCCTGGCCCAGGGCCGTGTTTAGTGATGCATAGATTTCATTCTCAGCAGGGAACCCAGTCTGAACCCACCCTGCCCCTCTGCACACCCACACACACACACACACATACATCATACATTTACCCCGTAGCTATCTGGGAAACTTATTAGACCCCACCTACACACAATCCAATCACACACACACATTTCCAATCATCCCTGTCCTGTATTACAGAAGACGCCACTGCAGAAATATGGTTTTTTGCTGATGTTTTTTTTTTTTTACTTTTCTGTAAACCTGAGAGGAATTTCACTAAAACTTGATTGGTTGAGGACACAAGAATGCTGTTTTTTAATTTGACAGTTTTCTTTGTTGAATGCAAGAAAGAAATCCCTGCAGCACTGATGCAAAATTACAAGATGCAGAAGATCTTCAAAGGGGAAAGACGCCAAAACTCAAGCCAGTAAAAAACTTGTTATTGTGCAAAAACGCTAAAGTCAGTACAAAGAAATAAATCCTAAAAGTAAAATCTTCACTTTCTATTTATGTTCATTCATTGATCTATTATCTCGGCTTCTCAGTGTGTTTACACGCACACAAATAATAACCAGATTATAGAACAGAGAGACTTTTTGATCATATTACCACTAATACAATTGTTTAGAAAAATCTGATTATAATAGAATTAAGTTAACACAATAATGAGGTTAACATGAGCTGCCATGTAAGCACATTTTCTGGCTTATTTTGTCAAGTTTATTCAAAATAACTAGACATTGAAAAAATACTTTTTAGAGCAGCTGTCAGGTCTGCAGTTAACTGAGCTTTTGTCAAGACGCTCTTTAATTAAGTTTCTTAAACTGAGAACAGTTGATGCCATTTTTCCTCCTTTTATTACCTGTATTTTCTAATGTATTTATTCTTAAAGTTCTAGAAAGACAACATTACGCTACATTATTATCATTTTGTAGCACTAGAAACATCCCTCCAGACATTAATCTGAATATTCAAACACATAAAGTAAACGCCTCGTAGAAACTTTAATCAGATTATTATAGCGTGCATGCACACACTGAGTCTTCCTCTTCCTCTCTCTGTGGATGTTGTCACGGTGCCTTCAGGTGCCGTATGAAACACTTTCCTCTCAGTTTCATGGGACTGCAGTGGCTGCCTCTGTATCCTCATCCTCCATTTCATGATGAAGCAGGTTGCAGCTTTCTCTGCTCTCTGTTCTGCTGCTTCATTTCTGTCTTACATCACCAAGGTTAATTTATTCAGCAGCAGCACGGCTTATTGATCAGCAGGATTGTTTTCTGTGTGAGCTGGCAGTTTTGTGTGTGTGTCGGGCGTTTTGTTTTGGGATCGGGGCGTTTATTAAACATATTGGTGACTTTTACATCATCCTGCAGCGATCCAGCAGAGAGAGAGGACTTTTATTTGTGTCACGTATGTGTCTGTGCGAGTGATTTGTGTGTTTTGTTGTTTTTTAAATCAGTTAGTGACTTCCTGTCTCCACCCGCGATGGATCCGCCAATCAACAAACAGCTCTCCAATTCTTCAGCCGCCCTTCATTCACCAGAGAGAGGTAAGAGAGAGAGAGTTCATTCAGATTAGAGCTGCACGATATGGTAAAGATATTGTAAGCTACTAAATTATGATTTTTTTCTGGGGTCTGTACCAAAAGCACAACATGCTTATCAAAAAACTGCAGCTTTGCATATTGCATATAATATTTTTTAAATGGTGCAGCACTAATTCAGATATGATTTGAAAAACCTACCTAATGTTGAGGAATACTGCAGCAGAGCACAACTTTAATTCAACAAAAGTGATGAAATAAGAACCTGGAGTTGCTCTTAAGGTAAATGCCCAGTAGGTCTAATCTTACATGAGCTGTAGGATTGGTTAAACCAGCCAAGTTTGGCGTTTGGTGCAGGAAATTAGGGCAAATCAACCTTAAACACGGGCAGCACAGCAGTAAGGTCTCACCTCGCGAGAAGAAGATGATGATAACAAGGGTGATGCAGCACTTGCTTATGTAATCCTTCTAATCCTTACATGATAGCAGAGGTCGAGGGTTGTTTCACCTGCCCCAATCAATCATGTTAGCATACATATGAGGCATTACACTGCACAGCTGTTAAAGGCTACCATCACTTAAAGACTCCAATAATAAAGATGGATTCTGATTGATTAGGACAGCCTCTGTAGTCTATACCTCTATTTATTGTGGTTGGATAATATTTCAAGCCTACACGATTCAAGTAATGTTTTAATAAAGTAATTGTTTTACACATTTATAATAAAATGGGTCACATCCTTAAATTAAATCAGTGAAATCTGCACCTAAAGCAGATTCTGGAAGTCCTTTTGTGGCCCCTTTGGACCGGATGAATTGTGGGTTTGGACAGCCCTCAGTAAGAGTCCGGACATTTGGGTCCAGCCTTAGAAGACAGGACAGAATGTATGTAACCTGAGAGGCCAAACCCAGGGCAAAAAATAGTCGCCTCAGGTTTATAGCTCTGAGCCTACGGTAAAAACTGAAGGCGACTCAGATAATCGTATCAACATTTTTGTCAACTCATCGTTTGCTTGTGTGAGTTTTGACAGCTGAGAAGTGAGAAGATGATGTTTAGAGAGATTTTAGATCAATCAAGCCTTATCCTGTCTTCTTTTCAAGATATTGAATATGAGAAAAGCACATTACTTTGTATTGGAAACAGTTTTTCATTTTGAATATTTAAAATATTAATTTTGGGGCACAATAATACTCAAAAGGACATAATTCAGATTGAATATTTTGCATAACACACTGATTTTGAGTGACTAGATTTCACTGCAGTGGATGCATTCATAGTGATTGATGATTTAAAATAATAACTGCATCCTTTACTTTAACAACATGTTACTTATGAGTGTTTTAAGATGTCCAATAATACAAGTAAAAGCTTACAGGAAGTACAGCTCTTTCATTTGTTATCCATATGTTTCTCTTTCCTTGGTCTGTGTCATCGTCATGGTGTGTGTGTGTGTGTGTGTGTGTGTGTGTGTGTGTGTGTGTGTGTGTGTGTGTGTGTGTGTCTTGGTCCGTGACCCATCAGTGTCTTTTGTGTCCCATCGAACAGCTTCCTCCAACAACCACAGACAGTACAGAAGTTCCTCCAACCGCAGGAGTGTCGCCGGGTTCCCTGAAGAGACGTCCAAAGCCAAAACACCCACGGTCAGCCCTCTCACACACACATACACACACACACACACACACACACACACACACACACACACACACACACGTGTACACATATAGAACTAGACACTTGCAACCTCATTACTTTTCAGTGAGCTGTTCAAGGCTGAAAGGGCACATTAGCAAGTGTTGTGAGACATTTTGTTTGTTATGGTAATCTTAGAAATATGTAGATATATGCACACACACACAAACACACACACACACACACACACACACACGCAAACATACACACACACAAACCTAGACACGTACCCACACTGCAGGCTCAAAGGTCCCATGTGTAGATTAATTCAAACATCTATAGATTAGTAGTAGTATAGAGGAGTTGTTGCCTCTGACTTCTAGGGATGCTACTGCTACTGTTTCTTCAGAATAAGAGCACATTTCTCATAAACCTGGTTGGTTTATTTTGGAAAGAAGACGTTACTCTTGTGGTTAAATGTTTTATTGAACTGTTTCTTCTATTGACTTTTTATTCCTATCACCTCCTGCTGCCACCATCAAATCTTCAGCTCTGTTCCCTCGACTGGACAGTTATTGTTGTTGTTGTATCTCAGGTTTTATTTTATTTAATTCCAGGAATGTTTTGATGTGAGTTAAAAACAGGTGAAAAGTTGATCTAAAGAAAGTGAAAGTTGCACTATAAAAATACCTTTTACGGTTTTTATTATTATATTTATTTAAATCAGTCATTTATTTGCTTTTTCTTTACATTTTCAAACAGGAAACATAACACAAATTTGGCTGCGTGGGGACATAAAATCTGATTCTTTTCTCTGTTCATTTATTAGTGAAAATCTTTCAAACTGGACAAAAAGGACCTGTATTATAAAAATACCAATGATATACAAGTTAAAGGATCTGTATCCAGATCTGTATATCAAATAGAAATTAAAATTAAAAGTCTGTACTCTTCTGCATACTGTCCGTATCACCACCTTGTATAGATCTGTATGTCTCTGTATTTATTCCAGTGAGCGTTTCTAGCCTCAATTAGCCTACATTTCACAGCTTGTTTTAAGTCACAGTCGTGTTAGGGTTCATGTTTTCTTCACAGATATTGAGCAAATCAGTCACAGTCATTGGAGCCAGTTCAAGCTGAGTGAAGGAAGCCAACATAATCTGTTTTTACATTGAGATCCACACTCAGAGGACCAGGATCGAAGAAACAGATCAGAGTTTACTGAGACAGGAAGAAGATTTCACTTTCATATCAGCCTCTAATATATCTGACATATATATTGCTAACAGTAGTTATACTAATGATTAAATATTAATGTGGAAGTGAGTTAATGGCTGAATGTTTCTTACTATGGACACAAATATTTTATAAATAATTTACAGGCAGTTATTATGAGTATTATTATTATTATTATTATTATTATTATTAGTGTAATATTTGTGAATGTGACTTTGCAGGGGGAGATTCCAAACACACCGGTCCGCAGTTCTTCCTTCAGAGCCAACAGCAAGGGCCCCGCCACACCGAAACGGTACCACACACACACACAGACACACACACACACACACACACACACACACACACCTGGATTAGCGTGACCCGATGTGGTTGTGTTGGTTTTTTCAGAGTGAGGTCGGCCAGGAGTCGCGCCCAGTCGCCCTGTTCCCCCGGTCAGTACCCGCCCTCCCCGCTCCGGCAGAGGGCCACCACCCCCGGCACCGACGACAGGGGTCACACTGAGGTCAAAGGTCAGAGCACCCTGGAGAGGAAATCGACCAAATCTGAGCCGTCAGAGAGAAAGATCCCCAAATCCACCAGCAAAGAACTGACTGCAGGTAGAGGCACAGAGTGTGTGTGTAGTGTTTCAGTGTTTATTTATAGTAGTCAGCTTTAACTTCTTATTAAAGAACTAATGTTTGATACTTTAAGTACATTTTGCTGATAATACTTAATTATTGCTTTTTATAAAACAGCAGCAAAGGAACCTTTTTAGACAGAATCAGAGGAAGACAGAAAAGCAAAGACAGATCAGAAGTTTGAGAAACAAAGACGAACAATAGAAAATCTTTTATTCTCGCTGCTTAAAGATTTTTTTTTTTTTGTTAAGTCACACTGCACCACCTCCCCACTCAACCCTCTTTGCCTCCACACACACAGAGTCTCCGGGCACGCCCACGGGCAGGAGTGTTGGTGGGACGACGGATGCCGAGGAGGCGTCCAGACTGCTGGCAGAGAGACGACGTCTGGCCCGAATACAGAAGGAGCAGGATGAGAGACAACGGCAGGAGGAGGAGAGGTATGTGCGTGTGTGTATTAGAGCATTAGTTTTAAATTGCATCTCTTTGTCTTATGTGAATATAAACCGAATGTATTTGGATTTTGGAACTTTTGTCCGACAAAACAAGACATCAAGACATTTGATCTGGGAAACTGTGACAGAGATTTTTCACTATATTCTGGCATTTTAAAGTAAAAAAACGATTGTTCGAGATCAATCTGAATCTTAATGGATAAACTAAGACTTGGTGAAATGGAAGAAAAAAAATTATTTTGATGTTAGTATATACTGCATCATGATATTAGCTGAGGTATGAGTATGTATGGGGGGTATGTCTTTTTAACTTCTGTTCTTCAGTTTTTGGACAGACAACAATTTCAGAGAAATTCAGAGATATCTGTGATAGATGATAACTAACGTAGTCTCCTAATCATTCACCATTTCTCAGTCAGTTATATCCAGATTATTGTCTTCTAAAAGGCTAATGGACGTTATAACAATCAACCAACAATCCCCTCTACCAACACTTTGGACGTCGAGTCTTCTTCAAGCCCCCCTCCAGTCAAAAACATGTTTTTTTCTTTTTCCCGCAGTGTGATGTTTGAATGATGTCTGCAGAGTTTGACACTAGAAGGATGTTTTCACATTCATCTGCTGAAAGTTAAAGGTTTCTCTGAGCTCACTGAACATCTGATTTTAAGGGGCGGGGCCTGCCAGCATGAATTCTATATCATATATAGTTTGTAGGGGATCTTTAACTTAGGCTACTGTTGTACTGTAGTTGCTGTTGTATGGTGGCCTGTACGGCTCAGACCTCTCTGTCCCTTCAGGCTGAGGGCCGAGGAGGAGCAGAGGAGGCAGCAGGAGGCGAGAGAGAGGCAGGAGAGAGCTGCACAGCAGGCCGAGGAGGAGAGAGTGAGGCGGGAGGAAGAGAAGAGGAACAAGGAGGACGAGGAGAGACGACAGAAGGAGCAGAGATGGAAGGACATGCAGGAGCAGCTGGACAGAGAGGTCCGGTTGAATAAATGTCTCTTTATTCATGTAACGTTGCTCAAGTATGTGGTTTTATCATCTGGATGTGATCAGAGGTTTCAATATCATTAATTTTATTTAATATTTCACTTTATTATAATTGTTTTGGCCACATTGTAAAACAAGGATAAATGCTGACTAATGTTTTCTTGATTGAAACCTTGAATGTAAGACATTGAATAACGTTAATGTTGTTGTGATCGCTGTGAACAAACCCTGCTTTTACAGAAAGGAAGAAATATAGACAGAGAACGTGAATAATTGGATGTTTCTTGGATGTTTTTCAGAGGGAGGAGGCCTTCCTGCGAGCCCAGAAAGAGGCAGAGAGGAAGAGGCAGGAGAGGGAGCTGCTGCACATCCAGGAGGAGCAGGAGAGACTCCAGAGGAAGAAGGTATCAGAGACATACATCTGCTTCATAAACTATAGATTTCACATCAAATAGCCTTTCTAAATGGCATTATTAAATCTTGTGAAAAGGACAATCGTTGTATTTTGTTTGCTTTCACAGAGAATTGAGGAGATTATGAAGAGAACACGTAAGAGTGAAGTGGAGCCTCTGTCTGGTGCTGCAGGTGAAACGTTTAATCTCCCTGTTAACTGCATTTCCTGCATCATGGCAGTTTGATTCTGTTTCTTTTGTTCTGTTACTCATTCAGTGACTTGTGTTTTGTTGTATTTATTTTTTAGCTTGGATGTGAAATATTGAAAACTTGTTACATCTTTTTTCCTCCAGCATTAATATTTTCTGTAAAATTGAATGAGATCAGTCTCAGCTGCAGTGTGACTCAGCAGTGTTCAACAGGCAGGAGAACAGTGCCTCCTCATGGTTAAAAGACAGTAAGACCAGGTCTACTGCAGCATTTGTCAAACAAAGTGGCTTATATTACTCCTGTTTTATCAGCACAGGGGAAAGGAAACGCACTAATTCCTTCATTATTAAACAGTCAGTCACAGAACCTGCCAAATAAATGATCTGGAAAGAAATATCTCAACAATAAAGTGTTGTTCCACCTGCTTTATTGTTCACACACGATAACAAGCAGCCAGTTAGAGGCGAAACACATTTACACATACAGACGGTGACAAATTCATTTAAAAACACAGAATAAATAAGCAGATGCTTCCACACAGGTGCAATGCACAGTTAAGCATGCTCTGTGTATAAAAGTGCTGAGGAAGTCCATATAATTCTGTTTTAGTATCAAGATGGTGAGAGGAAAAGATCTAAGTGAGTTTAAAAGAGGGTCCATTTTCATAAAGAGACATCTGCATTTAGGGTTGGACAGCATGATGCTGGTGTGCTATATGTAAGGGAAATTAAGGACTGGATATAACCGGGGTTGTTTTTCATCAGGTTTCTCCTGTTCCTGAATCAGACCTGCAGCACCTCTGTTATAACATTTCCCAGTAAAACAACTTTTAAACGTTACTGTGTGTTTGCAGTGTCTGACATGAGGCCAGAGGTTGCGGTCCCGTCGGAGGAGGACGCTCCAACTCCTGCTGAAGCCTCCGTCATCACGCTCGGACCCCTGGAGAATAAGAGCTGCATGGACGAGCTGTCTGACGGAGTCCAGTCCATGGACGTCAGGTGAGACGTCTTTCAGGTGTCTTGCATAAATTTTAGCATTGCATGTTTTTGTTTCCGAGAGAATAACACGAGGATCACAGTGTACTGCTGGAGTGTGTCTCACGAGTTCTGTCTGCATCGAGGTGACTCCCCACATACCAATCAGCCTTTTTGGCTTCTCTTTTTCCAGTCTTGCATCTCATTGTCATCCCATACTACTCATCCAAACAGCCAAAATGTCATAGAGGGTGTCTCTGATGAAGGAAGAATGATTTATTTATTGTCAGGGAACACAAAATACACAAGCATGGAGACGGCTTTCATCCACATCTCATTTTATTTATTTATTACCAAACCTAAAAATATGTGTAAAATGGCCCAGTATTGATTTAAAGGTCCAGTGTGTAACATTTAGGAGGATCTATTGGCAGAAATCAGTGTAGAATGACACCAAACACTGGCTTTAGATAGTTTAGATAGTTAGATATTCCTTTCACAAGTCCTCCTTGGAACAGGAGGGTGAGGCGAGTGGGTTGTAATCTGCAGCTGCACCGCTAGATGCCACTAAATGCTACACACTGGACCTTAAATACTGAAGGTGCATTTGGAAAAAAAAAGTGCAAATTAATTTAAATATTCTGTCTCTGTCATCATTGTGTCTTTAAGTTCTCCATCTGTCTCCATCAGTCCAGTGTCCAGGGAGGAGCAGGCGAGCGCTCATGAGTTTTCACCGGTCACAGAGGGGTCGGACGGCTGCCCCCTGGAGCACCTGATGGACCTCGACGCCCACGGACGAGGACAGCGTCAGGGTGTGGAAACGCCCGGTTACCCCAAACTGCAGGCTGGCAGCGGGGTCGGAGACCTCAACAAGAACCTGCTGATTCAAGCGTACAGCGCCGCCTCTGAAACTTCCCAGCTCATCCACAGCATCGGCCCGAGCAAACTGGACGTCCAGTAGCCAGGTAGAGACACTCCACCTCTCTTAACCTTCAGAATCAGTGTTTTTAAAGCTGGACCCATACTGGAGACTAATAGTCATGATGTTTAAGCCATTCTTTTTAAAGCCTCCTGTGAATCCCCCAACTGTATGAACGTGAAATAATAAATAGCTGGAGAAACAGAAATAGTGATGCTAAGCAAAGCTATTTCTAGTCCAGCATATAACCCCTGTAAACTTGTTTTTATGCTTTATTTTTGTAAACAAACAAGATATAACATGTTTATTAGTGAGCTATAGATGTACTGGTAGGTGAAAAGCTAGATTTCACTTCAGAATATGTTTAATTATTTTGTTTCTTGCCTTAGCATTAAAACATTTTACCGTTATATATTTGGGTTATTAAGTGCCGCTAATGCCAAAGTTTTTTTTTTTTAAACTGTTCAGTAATGAATTAAAGTTGTATCGAACTTTAAATCTTTTTCAGGCTGGAGAAATCTGACTGTTTTTAGCTTGTTAAGCGCTCCACAGTTTCACTCTGCTGTCTTTAGGACTCATGTTGTGGTCGAGTCAGTGATAAAATCTAGAGAGTGTGAGAGACAAACATGCTACTGTTTGCATGTAAGAATGAACACAACATAATATTGTTTGCTTCATGTTCACAGAGCCTGATCCCAGAATGCATTTCCCCACTACAGCTTCAACAGTCTCCATTTTGTCCTTTTTAGGGGCTTCTTCAGGAGCTGGCGGGTTCGGTAGAAACAGGAGCCAGGAGAAACCGACCAAGAGACCATCACCTCTGTCTGCAACAACAACAACAACAACAACAACAACAATCATCATTTCCACAAGGAGCAAATGCTGAACAACTAATTCACATCTGTATTACCAAACCTCGCAAACTCCTAACAGTAAAGCTTCTGGACACACGTTGAGGCAGTGCAAGTGGGCAATTCTGACTCTCACAAAACAAAATCCTGCAAATAATGTATTAAAGTATATTTATGACATAACAGAGGGGGAAGAAGGATCAGCGTTCTTGCATGTTTGTCTTATGACAGTTAAGTTTAGGTGAGTTAATAGACTGTAAAACTTAAGGTCATATTCAGGTTTATTCATCTAAATCTGAGACTTGCTGAAAACTAGACACGAGTTGATGATTAAAACTAATCGACTCAGCCCAAATGTGCACACATCAACCGACCTTTTCATTCACATATTACGTATATTTCACATCGGGCTGCATCTTTTCACCCTTCATGCTCCGAACAACTCTCTGAGATCAGTACACGTCCTCTGCCTCCGTTCCTGTTGACGCCAGCATTGCCCAGCTGCACTGCCGCAAACTATCACTCGAGCATCATCCGCTTTCAATCTCTCATCCCCTGCTTTTGTAAAACTCTGTAAATAGATCCGACCGGGTGGAGGAGTCTGTCGTGGTAGGAGCAGGGGAGCGGCTCTGTAGCAGTTTATCTGGAGGGGAAGCCGTGAAACAGACACTTGTGTGAATACTGTGTAGCATCTTCAGTGAGGACTAGCTAGTTGAGCTGTTTATGGTTGTAGCTGTGTGTGAGAGTTTCTCTCTTTCTGTCAGTGTTTCTGATGGTTCCTGTGTGTTTATCTCACCTCTGACCTGCTCCACTGCTGACAGCGACTCCTACTTCTATAAAAAAAAACCCAGTCTGCTGTAGATTCCCCGACGCTGGAGAAAGTCATCAACGACTGATATTATAACCTCGCTGTTGACCCGTAACACTTAGCCTATAGCTTTGGTTTTGCTGCTGCTCGTCGGTGGACGTTTTGTGGAGGTGCAACAATCCACAGCGAGGATAAGAATAAAACCTGGGAGGGAAAAAAGGGTGGTGGGTGGGGGGAAGAGTCAAATGTCCTGTATTTTTACCTGCAGGTCTGGAAAACTTTGACACAGTGTGTTGTGTATTTGTCTGGCACTGACTGTAACCACGCTAGCTGCAGTTTATAATGTGCACTTACAGTAGTTGTGTGTTCACTGCTCTGAAGACGCTTGTATCTCCACCTCAGCTCACACATCCCCCCCCCCTCCCACCCCCCATAACTAAAATATACCTCACCAATTCAGACTCTGGTGTGAAACAGCGTTCACCACCTCGCAGCTCATCACCTCTGAGGCCTTAAACCTCTGTGCAGTCAACATCAGCTCCCCTTAAAACAACCCACCACCCCCGTCCTCTGTGCTTTGCCCCCAGGCTGTGGTTCATCCAGCATGTGCACTTTTTTTTATGTTTTAAAAGCCCTTTTCCACTTAAAGGAGTAGAGAGACTAAAAATACCCGTTGAGCAAGTGTGTGTGTGTATCAGGGCCATAGTTAGAAATACAGAGGTAGAACCCCACCCACCTGAAACAACCTGGCCCGTCACTAACCAGACTCTGTACAATTTATTTAGTATTTAAGGAAAATCATATTCTATTTATTTAACTGTTTAACTATATTTCTTGTCAATTGTATGTCCTTACATTATGTCTGGTGCCACGTATGTCATGAATAATATGTTTTATTTAAGGAAAACCACATCTTTTTTTTTAAATTCAACAATATCCTCTGAGATTATAGTCTGGTGCCACGTTTTGGTGGAGAATACGAAGTTCCTTAAGTTTTTCCAGTGTAGTTTTTTTGCCTTAAAAAACCCAACAAATGTAATATGGACTGGAAAATCACATTCTAGTAATAATACACCATCTTTATTTACATTTATATTGTGCTCAGTTGATGCATATTACAATATAAATCTGTTTACTTTAGGGTGACAAGTAAGACATGATCTCAGTCACAGGGATCAAATTTGGATCCGGGTGCAAAAATAAGTTACTGAAACCTTCTTGTTGTGGAAAAGCGGCTCTGCTGCTCCTCCGAGGCGCCACATTGAGAGAAGAACGTTGCTTTTCTGTCACTGCTGCAACCTTCAGCGCGTTTGTCTGTATGTTTTCACTCCCCTGTCGGCTTCCCTCCCTCCGTGTTCGCTCATTATTCCTCCAGATTCTGCTGAAACTCATTGTAAGAGGGTCTCCTGGGTCCCCTTGTATATGAAGTAAAAATAAAGGACATAATGTTTATCCTAATATTACTTAACTCTGTGACACTGCAGCTTGGTGGAATATATCATTGTAGATGTGGTGCATGGATAACTGCTGAAAAAGAACAATAAAATTCATCAAGTAACTTTGTGTCAGTGAGCTGGATAAATATAATTAGAGCAAAGAGATGATTTTTGGTTGTGGAACTGAAATGAAGGGAAATGTTAAAGATTCAAAACTGTGTAAGATGTTTAGTCTTTGACATTAAAATGTGACATTTGAATTGGGAAATCTAGCGTAGGGCTTAATGCAGCCACTTTTATTGATCATTATATCGCACTGTGTGTTGACTTTATGCTGCACTGGAATTAAAACTGATCTGCAAACGTTGGAGTGAATTAATTTCTACTTGAGATTCCTGCACAGTGCTGATCTGAAGATTAGTGAACGTATTAACACACACACACACACACACACACATTTACTGTTAATGACTGACACTAATAACAGATCACAACTTCCTGTTCAGTGGTAGTTCAGTAGTTTAATGTTCTTTGTGAAGTTTAATTTAGACTTGTTCTAATGTTTGAGCCTAAAAATCATGACAGAAAGCAACAGTAGTAATTATAAACATGACCCTGGGTACATAAACCTGTTTCTGTTAGGAAAAGTCAACAACAAACAACTGACAATAGAAATGTATCAGTCAAAATTATGAGATAAACATTACTTACTATGTAGATTTATGTAGCTATTAAGCTTTAAATAATTCCAACTTCTCAACTTTTCCTTGTGGAAAGTCAAAATAGATACTACAGTAACAGAATCAGGTTTACTGGGCTGGTATGTGAACACTTACAAAGGAATCTGACTCCGGTTTTACGTTGTTTTCAATGTACATAGCAACAGAAATACAGCAGGAAAGACGAGGACAACAAGCTCCACAGGGTAAACATGTAAGTAAACACACAGGATCAGTTATCTGAACACAAACTGCTGTTCAGTACTGAGTATCACTCTGCCCTGGCACAGCAACAGGACAGGACGGGCTCATTTAAGAGACAGTAAAAGTTAAACTTTCTGAAAGCTCCAGACTTATTTATCTCTAAACTGGGTTGTGCTGAATTAATTCAGACTGTGTTTGGGAATATGCACCAAGAGAGGCTGTGTAAAATAAATAAATAAATACTTGTAAGGTCCTAATTAGTTTTGTGCTAAATGAAAGAGTTACTACCACACAGCTGATCTGGGGCCAGGTACAGTGCCAGCATAGAGGACAATAAACATTAAACACATATATAATATATAATATTAATAACTAATAATCCAGACATTGAGCCAATGGCAGGGCAGCACTTTTTCAGAATAATTTTAATATTCACATCATTCGTTTGTTTTCGTTCAACCACTTTTATTGTGAAAGGAACCGGGCGGAAGTTCTGTTTGGGCAGTTTGTTCGTGAGCTAACGTTAGCTCGTGTCAACACAGGCCATTTCCTCGCGGACGTTAATGGGAAACACAACACAGTCAGCTGAGTCTATTTCTCCACATCTGGCCATAACTCGGGTTAAATTCTTAAATCACCAGCTGTTGTATTTCGCGGGGTTTTCGCTGTGAGCTAACGGTTAGCCGCGTTAGCCTGGCGCGTGTCGCGGACGAAGGTAAGACTACGTAACGTTAGCTTAGCCACCTAGCTTCAGTTGTGTACCTGCACAGGTTGCTGCTGTTTGTTGTTATTTATTCTAATAACAACTGTGGAAGCAGGTTAGTAACGTCCAGGAGGTGTTAAACTCAAGAGAGCGGAGAGGTTTAGTTAGTTAAACTTCAGCTTATCTGCTCTTTAGAATAAATAACAAGAGTTGGGAGGTTTTATTTTTATTTTTATTTGAGAGGAGGTTGACATTCATACATTATCTTTGGTTTTATTACTATTATTGTCACATAGAGCAACTGAATCAGAGCTACATGTGACTCTTAATGAGTCTGTAATGTTTATTATCAAACTTTAACTTTAACTACAGGAGACTAAACTTTACACAACTGTTAAAACAATAAACGAAGGTCACTGCACAACCTTTTATTGAATTATCACCCAGCCGTACTCATTTAAAAGCAGGTAAAGAGGAAATATTACAACTTGTTTCTTATTGTGAATCAGTAAGTTATTAGACAGGTGTACTCCGTTACAGAGTTAAGATTAATTAATTCATGCACTCAGAAACCTCTGCTTTCTTTTAAAGGTTGACGAAATGTCACGACCACGGTCCAGATCACCACGTTATAGGTAAATACACGGCCAGGATTTCAAGGTTATATTCCTATCTGTGTGACTTTACAGTCACCTGCTTTGATTTTTGTTTATTAACAGTGTGAAACGTTTCCTTTTTCAGGAGGTTTCCGTGGGAGGAACCTGACTTTGATCCTTATAAAGTCCTTGCAGAACTGGACGGGGATCAGTTGGACAGGAGCCACCGGCCCAGAGAAGATCCAGAAGAACACTTGGACTACTTCAGGGAAGATATGTACCCGGAAGCCCAGAGGAGATCCTCTCCTTTCGCAGACGACCGCCACTTTGTGCATCAGCGGCACCCGAACCAGGAGGAGTTTTACCGCAGGAGGCCGTCGCCGCAACGCGACGCGATGGGATATGACGACCGAAGACTTACCCCGCTGCGTGACGGAGGAGTGGACGGAGATAGACGCAGAGGAGGGTTTAGAGAACACTTCCAGAGTTTTGAAAACAGGGGGAGGTCGCCCCACACGCCTCCGATGGTGAAGAGGGAAAGATTGCCGCCGACGCCGAGGTCTCACGCCGACCACCAACAGAGAGAGCCGGAGATGGGCTGGAGGAGAGAGGAGCAGGGTAGAGGTCGAGGGAGGTTCAGAGACCTCAGTCCCAGTGTGAGGTCAGACGACCAAAGAGGGGGAGCAGGTAGGGAGAGAGGGAGGAGGAACACGCAGGGTCCTAACAGAGACAGACGAAGAGAGGAGTCACATCAAGAGAGGAACCCCTCCTTTAAAAGGCAAAGAAGAGAAATGGATGACGGCAATCACCTTGGGTAAATTTAAAGCACAAAGCTTTGCAGCACTATCGCAGGGAAAAAAGAAAACGAAGAGGATTCTCATCTTCCTCACTGTCATCATGCTTCATTTTCTATAATCTAAAATACTAGTTTAACAAATACTGCATGGCTTAACGTTTTCTCGCTGTGCAACTTCTTTTGATGCTTAAAAATTTCTGCATGTCTTCTAAAGAATATACTCTGATTGTTAATGCAAAGTTTTAATGGCAACATTTGTTTTATACATTAATGTTAAAGTGGTAAAATAGGGTGAATCAGATGTTTGATATAGCCTGTTACACAAGTCCAACCCAAAGCTAATGTCAGGTGTAACTTTAAAACCACGTGTAAAGATGTGATAGTCCCATGAATAATTGTTGAACCATGTCACCTCCTCTTATGCTGTCACAGGTACAGGAATGAGGAGGACTTTGGGGAGCAACGTTACTCAGTGGACACACCCAGAGATGGGTTTGGAGGAGACAGTCAGGGGAGCCTCTCCCGTGGAGAGATTCGGCATTCGGGACCACTTGTCATTGAACACGATCATGGCATCACACACGGCAGAGAACCGTCACGATGGGAACAATCTGACAGTCGTGGAGATCTTGACCCTGACTTTGATCGTCAGAGGGCTCCCCGTCCAACGCGCTCCTCTCAAGAGCGTTTCAGGACGTCAGAAAGCCGGTTGGATGATCGGGAAGATTCAAGAGGACGCCATTTTCAAGATAACTGGAGAGACTCCAACTATCATGAGACAAGGAGGAGCCCAACGCCACAAGATAGACCAAACCCCGTGAGATATGGTAATCGAGATGGTCCCATGAACCACAGGGGCAGGGGCGGTTCTCGCCCAGCGAGAGGGGGGTTCAGTCGCGGCCAGGGTGGAAGAACTGGACCGCAGAGGAATCAACAACACTTACAGCAAACCTCGCAGGGATACCAAGATAATCCTCATGAAGAGCAAAGATTGGGGTACCGACCCTTCAGGGAAGATTGTTACGAGGATCCCGTCAAAGTGACGGCTGATTGGTCAGAAGAAACCCGACCACAACAGTGGAAACATGACAGGACTGGAAGTCTGGACCGACACCTACCGAAGATTGACTTGGACCCTAAAATGCCCCGTCAAAGGGTGCGCGGATGGAGTGAACAGAAACCCAATAACATGGCAGTGGTAACGGAGGAAACGCTAACCATCAAAGTGGACATGAGCCGACCCGTAAACCAAAACAGGTAGAGTATGTTTGAATCAAATTATCAAAGGTGAGAGGTGAAAGTTCACACTTCTCTTTCTGAAGCTCATGTTGACTCTTCATCACAAGACACAACTTACATTTTCTTTAACTGGATTTTGCAGCAGTTTGAAAAACGCTGCCAGAATTCTGTACGGCTGCGTATAACGTCTTCCCTCGTGGATCCTGTGAGGCACTGCTGGTACAGGATACCTGGCAGAGAAGTTCCTCCAGGTGACAATACATTCTCATCCAAAGGTGAAGTTGGCCTTGCATGAAAACTTGTGGATTGACACCAGGAAGAGACACATGCTGCTTTACTACTTTTACTAAAGAAGCCCGGGAAAGTCAGTTCTAAAGAAAGAGAGAGAAAGAAGAGCAATGTGGCTGTCTTTGGGTAAGTGACCTATTAAAAACAAGGTGGCATCTCTCTTTATGATGATGATTACAGGAAGACGAGACACTCAACAGCTGAAAGAATTAACTGGAGTGAGTGAACAACTCTCACATTGCCTTTGTGCTGATGCACTGATGACGAAGCATCTGGTCTTCACTCCCAAAGGAAAACACAGGAGAGCAAATCACCTCCAAAAGCAGACGACTGCCTGAAGCGACGGTTTGACTTCCTGCTCTGTTTGAGGATGTTACTGAGGACCATTTGGACATATTAAAGTCAATAAAGGCAACACTGGACCACCCACATTGATTGTTGGCAGAAGAGTAATGAGTACGTTTCCATCCCTCAGCAAGCCGAGAGGCAGATGGTGAGGACGACATATGAGAGGTGGCTCAGGGAGGATTCAGTCAAAGGCCAGCAGACGTAACCTCGTGTTCAGCACTGCCCATCCAGTGTGTCTGTGTGTTTCACAGGGATCACAGAAGAAGCAAGAGTTTGAATAAAAGCTGACGAGTGAAGAGGAGTGTGCTGTGGAAGGGCGTTATTGCATTATTATTATTACCATTATGCAACATTTTATGGAGCCAATTGGACTTAAAATTGAAACCTGTCCTCATTTGACTGCCGACAGAAGGACGTGTGATCACAATTATACAAAGCTCTCATTTTTCTGATGCTCATTTTGTATTTTACCTTCTCCTTCTTCATGCAACGCACGTGTCTCTGGGTGAGCTGGTTTCCACAACTGGCATTTATGATTATCTGCATCACTTGAAGAAGCTTCAGTTGCTGTTTTGTGAAGCTGTGAAGTTTAAAGGAAAGATAAACTGGCTGAAACGGAGAGAGGAAATGTCTGTTCGCAGCTCTTGTTTCAGGGAGGAAGTCAAACAGCGTTGCCAGTGCTCTGGGAAAACAAAGATATGCACGCTTTCGGCCATTAACGTCACTCGCCTTGTCACAAAACAGTATCACTGTTTGTCTTCAGCTTTGTCTTCAGATTGCCAGAGAGAAGAATCACAGAAAAGAAAATCACCAGAAGTGTGACGAAAGGGAAAATGTTTTTAAATCTTTCAACAACATAAATCAAGATGTTTGACAGGAGTTGTTGGTCCACACGGTGTGGAGAAGTGAACACAAACATCCAAACCCTGGTAAAATAAATGTTCTGGCACAATTTGTGCCCTTTTTTAAAAAGATAAACCTTTAATTGGCCAAATACTGAAATCTGTCTGTCTGGGTTTATTTAATCACAAACATATTGTGCGAAGAGGATTCAAAGCGTGTTCACTGTACAAAGGCTGAGACGTATCCAAGGTCACACGGACACAAACAACTTGGGAGTTTTTGTTCAGCTTGCTGATTTTATTGTAGAATAAAACCTGTGAAATCAAAGTTAGCTGGTTAAGAAGATGAACCTGGCAGACGCAACCATGTTTTACTCATTGAACATGAATTGTGTTTAAAGACGGATGAACATCACTGCAGCTAAAAGGAGAAGAA